GAAATCTAAAAAACAAAAACAAGTATTAAATAGAGAAGATGGACCAGCAATTCAATACATTGATATATGGTGAGATACATTATAATAATTATTATTATTTTTTGGGGAAATTTGTAAATAACAATGAAGTAATGTGACAAGGGGAAAAGTATAAAATAGTCTTGTAAGTTACTCCTGAGGATGACGTAGATCACGTAGAAACATGCACTTGTAGAGAGATATTTTAAAGTGGAAGCCATACGTTTTTATTGTGTAAATATAAAACATTGTTTTTAATTATTTGTTATGATTCAAAAAATTTTAAACACAAGTGCCGGTAGTGCATATTTATAAAGATATTCAATGTTTTATTTGTGTATAATATTGAAGCTGAAGAGTATGATATTTCTTAGAGTACTAAACATGACGAGGCAACAAAATGAGACAAAAGATAACATTAAGCATACCACTCTTTCAAATATTTATAGTGATATTTTACATATTAGGTTTATCTATAGGTATAGGTGTTGTTAAAATGTTAGTAATTTAAGGGTTATATAATAACTATAATAAAAAAAATTAATTGGTGTACAATCATTATTTCGTAAGGTTATGGAGGTTTAAGCAAATAAAACCTTTTTATCAATGGAAAGAAACCAATAACCTTGTGCTGCAGATGTTTCTTTGATTTTTAAGTTAAGCAAATATTATGCTGACCACAGCAATCATTATTATTACAATAAACACGTTAATTAGAAGTTTTTTTATACATGGTGAGATTAATATCTATGTTTTATATAGAGTAAAGTCTTTAAAGTAACATTATGCAGGTAAACAGATGAAATCCAAACTTTTATGATTCATTTTTCTTGTAATGACCAAGAGAGGTGCATGTTGAGTAGAAAATTGTTTTTTCTTTAGTTCTGTAACAATTCCCCAATAAATCAATGATGCCTGTGAAACAAAAAAAAAACAGGATGTGTTTTCTAAATCTATCTATATGAATTTAAAAATATACTACACTATATCTATGACACTCCATAACTGGTCTATCCAATATCGTTATACTTTTGACCTACTTTTATGGCCTGAGCTTCATCTAAGTTAATTCCTATTGATAAAGTCATCATGTCCAAGCTATCCCCGCCAACACCAACAACACTGTTCTGTGACATAAGCACACCTGGTTCTGAACGATACACTGTAGAGTAGAGGTGTGAGGGAATCACTAACTGTGCAGGTTTCAACTTCCCACGTTCAGAGCTGGTTGGTAACATTCCTGCCATAAATAAATATGTAAGTGTTGTATAAGTGTGTTCCAAAACAAACTTAAACATTCAACCAGTTGGTAATGCATTGTGTAGTCACTTGATATGTAATACGTACAAGTTTAACTTCTGTAAACTAGACAATAAAAAAATGCCCTTTAGAAATCTAAAAATGTTAAGTTTAATTTCATGTTGCCACTACCTAGACCACCAGTTTGTTTTATGATATTCCTGAAATTAATAACCAAACGACAACTTACTGGAAGGTACAGAATAATAATTTCAAAATAAACTGAATTTAAAATCATGCTAAATAATTCTTTCCCAGTTTTGCAGTGATAAAACATCACTTCAGGTACATGAAGGCTGCTTTTATCACCTGCACAAATTCCAGTGGATATCATCTATGAAAAATGTGTGTGTGTGTGATTCATCATTTTCATTAAAGTGACAATAAATAACAATCAACAAAGCAAAGTATCACTAACAGAAGAAAGTACTCATTGATGATTATATTAAATAACTGGTAATAAAAAGTCTAACAAATGATTTTGAACAAATCTGGAATTTTTTAGGAAAAATTCTGTACATTTCAGTAGTATCAACTGGCAACAATAACTTTCTTTACCACATCATTTTTACAGTACACAATTGTGTCACGTTACCTTTATGAAACAAGGTTGCTTTGTTGGACTGTACACACAAGTAACCTACATCTGGGTCTCCAAGGTAACGAGATACAACAAATAACATAGCATCTTCTGAATGGAGCTGAAACTCTCCCTGCTGACCAGGAACAACATTATGACTGGTATCCTACAGCATTAGAGTGAAGTGTTAGCTCTTCAAGTACATAATCCACTAGACTAAACAGATAGCTAAAAAGTACATAAAAATGATGAAGTAGCCTAAAAAGAATACAAAATGAAAGAACAAAAAATAAAGTGAAAACATTTCAACATTTTTAACTTAAAAATGTAAAGAAAAAATTAAAATGCATGATCATATATGTCAATTTCAAACAAAACTCTTGGATCTAAGTTTCTATAATTATAACAACATACCCTCAAAGGTGAATGAAAAGAGATAAGGCCTTTATTCACATTCAGTGAAAGACACAGGTAGCTTTGACCTCTCTGTTTGGAATTTTGTTCCTTTAACTGTTTGCGTTTTTGTCGTTGCCTGTGCTCGTACACTGAGTAATACATTCCAGTACCTTCCTCGGAGTCAGAACTAGAATCTTAAAAAAACACAAAACAGAAACTAAGTTAATATTTTTTATGCTCTTATTTTTTTACTTTAATAATACAGCAAAATTGGAATTCTCTGTTGACAAAGAGCATAACCATGCCCTCTCAGAATCAATAATTTAAATATTAGAAATTATAAACTAGAAAATCCTGCAATAATCACAACATGTTAAAAAGTATACATAATATAACATACATTAATTATGTTTTCTAAAAACAATAACTATTTATTAATCTAATTGAATTAATGCAACGATATTGTATATTAAAATCAATATACTGAAAGACTAAAAGTAACTGAGGAGTTGAAACCAAGTTTAGCCAATGTACTATTACTACATCTAGAAAAACAGCAACACT